CCTCCTCCTCTCTCTCTCTCTCTCTCTCTCTCTCTCTCTCTCTCTCTCTCTCTATGAATTTCTCGATTGCGGGGATCCGAAATTTTCACGTCGCGCCGGCGTCTCCCGGCGGGGGCGCGACTTGCCGTTTTTTAATTGAAAAACGTGTAATTTGTAATTTCCCACGGGTCACCCCGAGGAGAGGGGGGGGGGGAGAAGGCGCGGGGCGACACCGCCGAAATTACTTCGCCGGTGGCCAGCCGCCGAATCCTGGACGAGATTTTAACGATCGCTCTCCTCCCCCGTCGCGTCGCGCGTCGAGTTTGATTAGAGCCCATGGACGCGGAAATCGCTCGTCGTCGCGACGCGGAAACCGGAAAAAAATCGTCGCGCGCCGGCGCGCTCGCCCGCGCGCGCGATTTTACGGTGACTCGTTCCGCCGTAACCGAGCCGTGCCCGGGATCGAGCTTAATTAGCACGGCTGCGTGCCCCGCTACCGTTCGTTAATGATAGCTGCACAGGGGTGTGGCACACGATCGCGTCTGGATTCTGGCGTCGCGCGTCGTTTGTTTAGACGCGTCGATCGGGATCCAACGTCGACGGGCATCCCTAGCGAGGGTCGAAGTGCGAATTTTCGGGCGGGGAAATTCTCGGCGATACGAACTTATCTATCCGGCGATGTAATTTCGCGCGGACACCCGGGGCGGCCGACGGTTCCAGGCGGACGGAGCCGAGTTTAAGGCGGAGGCGCCGCGCCAGTGCGATTTGAATACTCCTCGCGAATCCTCCCCTCGCCGGGACGCCCGCTCGTCGTTTGTCCGTCTATTCATCTCGTCCCCGCCGTCGCGGTCCTGAAAAGCGTAACGGCGAACCGCGCGAAAGCGTCGCGGACGCCGCGACTCGCTGTTGCTCGCGCCGAGAACGGATCGAGGGATAAAAGAAGCGGCGAAAAAGAAAAAAAGGAAAATGGGCGACACACGCTCGCGCGTACGCGACCGTTTTGTCCGGCGGTTCCGCAACGAGACAGCCATTTTTATCGATGATCGCCGCGCCCCTGATGTTCGATTCGGCCGGATGTTCCGACACCGGAATGCGTCCGCAATAAAACAGACCCGGGGGAGGCTGGCAGGGGTTGGCCGGTCGCTCCAAGTGCCGATGGAATGCGTTTTCAAACCCGCCGGCGCGAGGACGGCGCGGTCGGGCCAATTCATTTCGTCGTTTTAACTATTTTTTCGTATGCTTGAAAATACATATACAACGTCGACAGCAGCGAACGGTTATTGCTGCGTTAACGCGACGGTCTTGCCGCGACGGGTATCCCGCGCTTTCAACGTGCGCGAGATTCAGTTTGTCATTCACAATATTATACACTTGTCCCCCGATTTACACGGAGCGCTCGTTCCGCGTGGTTTTCCCTTACGTCGTTGATATTCGCGTGAATGGAGTCTGTCAGTGCAAAAAAAAAGTAAGAGAAGGGTATAGCCGTGCCTCTCCCGCCAGACTTTAGTTTCGTTTTCCCTGTAAACGGGCGGATTTTTTATCGTGCTAAAAAAAATCCGCGTAGAAACGGTATCGCGTAAGTCGAGGGTCCATTTGCAAAAAAAAGAAACTGTGCATTGCGATCATCTCTGTCTCTGGGAAATCGATCGAGTTTCCTTATTTGTATAGAGCCCGGATTAAAGTTCGGAGATCGCGTCGACCGTAGTTAGTTCTCCCCACTGCTACTCGCCTGAGGCCGCGGCGGGCGGCCTTAGGTGAGTGATAGTGGGGAGAGTCATGGAGGAACGTGCTACGGCCGACTCGAATTGGTACATCGGCTGGCGGAAAATCCGGGCTCTAGAGATAAGTGATTCTGTCCAAGCGCTGTAAATTCGTTTTGCTAAATTGTTTTGGCTTCGTACTAAATTATTCATCGACACATTGATGTCTAATAAAGGAAAGTGAAATATGCGACAGACGTTAATTAGAGCGTTTGTTGCATCTGTGTTTATGCTGCGAACGGACGTTGGAGGGGGGGGAGGGTAAAGGACTTTTAAACTGCCGGAACTTTTCTCCGTTATTCCTTAGTCTCAAGAGAGAGAGAGAGAGAGAGAGAGAGGGGGGAGGGGAGAGAGAGAAGGGGAAGGTTAGAGAAAGGGGAGAGAATAAGAAAGCGCAGAAAGACCGTTATGGAATTTCTGGTCGGTCAAAGTTCTCAAGGAGTAATTGTAAAGGGAAAAAAAGGGAGGCAGAAGTACGTTGCGGGCCTCCTGTCCCTTTCCCCCTCGCCCCCCGCGGATTAGGTAGTACGGCAAGTGTCAGGGGAGGGACGGAAGGTTCCCGTCAGGCGTGAATCGCGGTCGGTTCGAACTTTTAATTACGTGATACTCGGGGCGGAGGGTGAGAGAGGGGTGGACGGCGTGGGGCGGCGGGGTGAGGGGGTAGGGGGGGAGGAGACGAGCCGGAAAGAAAAAGACGCGGAACAGACTTAAGCAGCACTCGAAACTCCTTCCTAACAAGACCGGAAATCTGTCGAGGGCCCTCCGGGAAATGCCGGCGCGGCGGCGCGCCGTTTTTCAATTAATTAGTTCGGAGCGAAAGAATGACGCTGTAATTGCAACTGCCATCTGCAGCGAACATAAATCGCGCGCGTGCGCCTATTACGGGTCGCGCCAATATAGATATAGACATATCTATATATATCTATACATCTATATATACGTATATACATTGCTCCGCAAAACGGATACTTCCGCGTTTTTGTGTTTTTACCTCTTTTTTTCTCGCGGCTCGCCGCTCGTTCCCGGCTCGAACCAGGAAGCAATTATTGCTATTATTTCGTTGTCAACGAGGGCGGGCGATTTTTATCGGCGCGCACAGCCGGGGACACGCGCGCTCGCGGCGCGATGTTTTTCAAGTTTTCCGAGCGGCGAAAATCGGGGAATGTTCCAAACATTTTTCCTCGCATTCCTCGCGGACTTTAATTTAAAAGTTACGCACGGGCGGGGCGGGGGGGGGGGGCGTAAGAAGTTCCTCTCCTCAGATTACCGGTGCTGGAGCGTATCTCTGTTCGCGTTTCGGAGATCAGATAACCGCCAAGTTTCCCTCGAGAAACACTCGTTTTCTTTAGGGAAGGGATTATTTACGCACGCGTGTGAGGGGCGACGCGAAATCTTGTTTTCCCCCCGCGTTTTCGGGGATGAGGAGGAGAGAGAAAGAATCGTCGGAAAAATCGGGGACCCTTCCCGTCGTCCATCGTGGGGGGAAAAAAAATGCGGCTGCGATAATGGCGGCCCGTCCTTCCGCTCCCACCCCTCTCCGTTCCTCCGAGCTTTTTTCGAGCCGCCCGCGATAAGGGCAATCGGAATTAATTTCTTCGAGAGCGGGCGAATTTAATGGTTTCCCCACATAACGCGGAATCCATTAACGGCCCCGCCGCGCCGTTTCGCTCAAAAGAATTCAACGTTCCCTCTTTTTTTTTGCGCAATCATGTTTCCCCGCGTCTCTGATTCCGCGTATAGATATGCTCGGAATCTCCTCTCCTCCGAATTCCGCGCGCTTTTCTGTTTGAGATGATCTGCACGCTTTCAGATCGGAAACCGGGCGGAGGGGAGGCTACAATAATTCTCGATCCAATTTCTTCCGAAGGAGAGTCGAATTCGTCGACGAGCGGTCGCGAGGAAGCACGAGAATCGCGAGGACGCGATGCGAGCGTACTAGGAACTGCTGATGAGAGGGGAAACGAGAAGAGATATCAAAATTGGTCGCGAGTGCCCCGAAGCTCTCTTCGTTGCTCTCTCGGTTGTTCCGTGAAAGAAGGAAAGAAAAGGGTCGGATATAAAAAAGGGCAATTTGAGCACGACGAGGCGCGGCGAATCGGGGGAGACATCTCGAGGCCATGCCGGGCGGGGCGGCGAGTCGTGGAGGATCCTCGGCGTCGAGCAGGTGATTCGCTAACGATGTCACCCTGAAGACCAGTCGAGAAGCAAACATGTGCTGCTCGGGTGGCCCGGGTGGAATCAGGCTGACCAGATGCGGCGTCGTGTGCGGCCTCGCCGCGCTGGCGGCCCTCGGCGTCGCGCTTTCGGGACCGACTTGGCTGCACACCGAGGAGAAGCTCGCCGTGCCGGATGTACCTAAGAATTCCGCGGTCAGCGTCAAGTTCAAGCTGGGGCTCTTCAGAGTCTGCTCGACGATCGTGAATCCTTCCAACCTGACGCTACGTGAGTAACGATTATTCTCTTTCTAGCGGTTCGAAGGCGTTGTAAATACGGAGAGTTTCAGGAGTACATCCGAGACTCCAGAGGGCTGCGCGGTCTTATCTTATATAGCCGTAGCGTTATCTTATTTATATCCCAGTTTTGAAATTATGTAGATTTCGCCGGTCGACGATTTCGCGATCTCTTATAAAGAAATGTTGTAACCAATCAACTTGCAACTTTCACAGAAACGCTGCAGTTCATTGGCTACATATTTCTCGGATCGAGATCTCGGATCGGACATAAGACTTGTTCGCGATGCTAGAAATCGGCCCGAGATCTCGATCCGAGAAATGTGTAGCAAATCGACTTGCAACTTAGCCATAAAAACTGCAACCTGATTGGCTGCATATTTCTCGGATCGAGATCTCGGACCGATTTCTAGCATCGTGGACACAAGGCTTTAGGCACAACAGTTACGATTAGAACCCCATGACTGTGCTCGAATAAATATTTACATTGTGAAAAATCATGGATCCTCACGAAGCGCCCGAGGTGCCTCGCAGTTGATTTCCGCGAGACAGTTCCACCTCTCCCGCTTCCTCGGGACGAAATCTCGCGCGGCGCGACAGGTCTCGCCGAGGATTTTCAGGAACGACGAGGAGTAAACGTAAAAACAAATGACAGCGGTTGTAAAGAGCGCGTGGCAGGGAGGAGGGAAAAGGTGGAACGGGGGGGGGGGAGAGAGAGGGGGCTAGGAAGAACATCGCACGGCGCGGTTACAAGGGTGGCCGCAGCCATCCGGACGATGACAATTCCTTTTTATTTCCCTCGCAGCCTCGCCTCGGTCGCGCGCTCAGGCTCTCGACTTTTATTTCTCTCCCGTCTCGTCCTCGCCATTTCTTCAATCCCCGCAAGTTCGCCCTTTCCCTCCCCACGCCCGCGGGGTTTGCCTCCGAATCGCCATCCGCCATCGCGTGGAGGTGTACTTAAATGTATTCCGCGATCGGGCGATCCATCCTTATTGTTCCGCGTCCTCTATCGGGTTTCAGCTCTTTGAGGGCTGCGCGCGCGCGCGCCCCCCGTCGTTATTTATTCACGGTGATGGGCGCCGTAGCAACTATCAGGTTAGTGAAGGTTCGTTGTACGCGCGAGAAAGTCTCGCCGCCTCTCTTTCGGTCTTATAAAGATGTGTCGCGGCTCGGCGGAGCTGTTTAGATTGAATGAAATTCACAACCCCCTTACCGCGCCCCGCGACTTTGCTCCTCGCATCACCGGCTCTGTTTCACCGTGTGAACTCGATCGGAGGTGCCGGGTAAACAATTAATTTCTGATAGGTCAAAAGTTGGCCGACGTCCCGATCGCAAAATTTCGAAATTAAATAAAAAAATTTCACCTTTAAAAGAAGAACGCGGACAAGTTCTCGGTTCTTTTTTTCTCTCCGGCGCGAGGTACAGCAGCGAAGGGAGATTGAAGAAAAAAAGGGCGAAGTTTTCCAAGCCGGAGCTGATTAAGTTTCGACATGTTAAGGTTTGAAATAATTCAAACTAAAAGCAACATGGAAAACTAAGATTAGTTAAGGATTTAATTGCAAACTTCTGGACAAGACGTAATAAACTCGAATGAAATCTTAGTACATCTAAGACTGCGATAAGATTCAATAATAAACTTCCGGGAAATGGCGCGAGACTGAACGGGCGTTTTATTAAATTAATTAATCAGTCCGCCCCTTTCTCTGGACGGTATGACTTAAGGTTCATTTACACATATCCGCGTCGTGTCAAATTTTCGCGCCAAGTGCGAGCTAAAAGCACACCCGTACGTAAAAATTATGAGAATCCAGGCCAGCGGGCTTGTTAATTATCGGTTATTTACGCGGGCAAAGCCAAGCGGGAGATTTATATTTCGAAACGCCATTATCTGGTTGCATTGGAAGCCCGTACGCGCGGCGATTCCATAATGGAGCCGCCATTCGGCGCGCGTGGCCGTATTATTCGACGATTAATAAACGATTTTATCCGCGGCAATCCTCGCCGGCCAATAATTAATATTAGAGCTACGGAAATAGCGGCGGAAATCGACTTTCATCGAGCGCCACGTACCGTCGATGATTCTTCTCGGCGTATTTTCTAAATACACACGGAACAGCATACCTGGCGGCATGTGCGCGCGCGGCGTGTCTCTAAAATCATAATTATTTTTACGCTCGAAACGACAACTGACAAACTGACGGCGGCGGCGGTATTTCGCGTCACGGGCGTCTGCTAATCTCGTTGATGACGTGCTCATCGACGCCAACTTTGAGCTTTAAGCGCGGAACGATGCGACGCGATTTTGGCGTTATTTCATTTCGATAATTTGCACGTGCTCCGGGAAAGCCTCGGAGATTGACCCCCTTTCGCGTCAACTCCGCTAAAAGCCCTAGAATATGTTACGGCAGACAGTAACTGAATTAAATTCGAAAGTTCCGCACGGGAAAACTGTGGGAAAAGCCGGCTCCGCGGGGTCGGGCTGGTTCACCTGCAAGTAGCCGTGTGCCCTCAAGGCCGTGCCCTTCCCCGCCTCCCCTAGGGGAGATTGCGCGCGAGTTATTAGTTGAAATGAGCGGTGAGAACAGCAAGGAAATACTTTTAAGCTCGGATGGAGAGAAACGAGCCGACCGCCTCCGCGGAGACTTGTGATTTAAAGATGGCTGGTAGGTGGGTAGGTACCAACCAGCCCCTCGTAAATCTTCGCGCCCTTCAGGGCTGATTTTTGCCAGCGCGGAATTTCGCTCGCCCGATAAGCGATCTCAACGGCGAGAGAAATTTGAGTCCTGAAATGCGAGACCATTCATAATTCGCGGCCGCGTTGTTTTGCAAAATCCCTTTGCATTTCCCCTGGCATTTTCCGCCTCGAATCGAGGGCACCCTGTTCGAAATTCCGCGGTTTTCGTTTTAATAAATTTTACCGTTTTGTCCGTCGTGCAATATCGATATTTTACGACGTCAGATTTTCAACTGACAATTTTTTCATTTGCAATTTCCCATCTGGCTATGTTAATTATTCAAGCAAATATCAGTTATGATTATTTAATTTACATTATACGTGGAATAAATGTCAGCGCACATTAATGTTATTAAAAAATTCATAACGTTAATTTATTTTGTTTCATATATTGTCCCGCGTGTTATTTTAATTCGCATTAAGTTCGGCCACCGCAAATTGATCCCGATGAACTGAATGCGGCCAATTTGTGTTAGTTTGCCGTCTTCAAGCACACTACAGTAGGCTGCTTCTCCATCATCCTGTAATTCACATTAATTCGTAGCGTTTTACTTTTTTGAGAAACTCCGGGAAGAATGGGAGCTGAAGCGAGCGCAATCAAGGTAGAAAGAAGCCGACAAATGGGCGACTTTCCCTAGCGGTGTTCCGCTGAATCCGCAGGACTAACGAGTCTTTATTATCCTTGTCATCGCGCGGAATTCGTTTCGGAGACAGAAGACTCGAAATCCTCCTGGACGTCCCGGGGTCAATGGTCGCTCGATGGCTAAATGGCCGTGACGTCAAGTCGCGCGATCGCGCGATCAACGATACTGATAAATTGGATACTCCCCTGAACTTGATTGAATTAATCGAATTGCAAATCGATAAAATTTCTAATATACGTTACATAGGTACAAAATAGATAATTTGTGTGTACATCTGTGCTGCGAACATAATTAATCAATTAATACATTCCGGATATTGCAATACAATTAATTACATTATTAGGTACATTTTGTCTGTGATATGTAATTAATTACATATATTCATGTAATTTATAATATCACTCTTGTCAGCATAGTTTAAATTGCGCAAATTTAACAAATAACTTCATAAATATGAATTTAATTCTAATTTATGTTTATCAGTTACGCATTATTGTTTCAATTACACCCTATTTCTATCGACGGGGAAATCGCTGACCAAAATCTTGTACCCCAATGCCCAATAATGCCCAGTGAGCATTATTTTATCTCATTAGCTTATTTTATCTTATTTATCTTGTTTTATCTTATCTTGTATTATCTTATTTTATCTTTATAATGCCCCAGCAAGGCCTAATGCCCAAACTAATGCCCCAAAAATGCCTAGTAATGCCTAGTAATGCCCAGTAATCGGCCGCAAATCTGTACACCAAAATGTCCTCAGCGGTTTCCCTCTCGATTTCTATCTTGTTCTACACGGAGAGAATTTTTCTTTTAAAATTAACCTTGGAAATTATGCGAAATTACAACTTTATGAGAGCTTTTGGCAATTTTACCATACATTTTATTAGTAAAAAGTATGATATTTAAAAAAACTCATAAAGTTCTTCGAAATGCCATGTTGTCCCACGATTACATGATTTTCAGGATAAATTGTAAGAGAAAATTCTTCCCGTATATGAATTAGAAAGCAAGAATTCATTTAATTAAAATAATCGTTACATTTTATTACGGAGCCCACTTTAATATCAATTTATTAGATCAGTCAAATGTAAAATAATAATTTTGAAAAACGAACAAACAATACTATGATTCGTTTTATTACACTGTTACCAGTAACTTATTCTTTATTTATCATTCATTATTATAATGTCATTATTGTGAAAAAGTTATAATGATAAAATTACTCGCTTAATTAAGCAGGAATTTCGTATCAGAGACGTCTAGCGGAGGGATTTGCCTAAATCGACGCGTGTCGATAGTCGAAGCAGGTCTCGTTACGCGACCGGCAATTAATTACTGTCTTCGTAAAACTGCGGGACACCGACAATTTGTCTTCATTGCCGGCGCGAGGACTTACCGAAGGGTCGCGGGCAGGAAGGGGGGCGGTAAAAAATAGGCGCGAGGGTGCGGAAGGGGGAAAGGGACGGATTTTTGACAACGCGCGCGAAGCGAGAGCCGCGCGAGCGGGAATTTCATTCGGATAAAGTTACAGGGTACAGTTTTTTTTAACAGAGAAACATTTTTCAATAGTACACGTTTTCAAAGATATGAATTATGGATGGTAAACAAATG